GGACACAACATCTTTGTTGGTATGTGGTGCTGAGGATCGAACCCGGGCCGCACGCATGCCAGGCGAGCGCGCTACCGCTTGAGCCACATCCCCAGCCCTTAAAAAAAATTTTAAAGCTCTATTGTGCTTTAAATGCTTCGAATAGTTAGGTAAACTTTGAGGCGAATCTCTTGGTGTTACTGTAAAATGCTCATTCTCAGTCATTGAGAAATAAGTATCCTGAGGCCTCTTGGATGTCTTACTGCATATAAATAAGGACAGCACAGAGTCCCAGAATTCTTTTCTGCACTTTGCCTGGTCACCATCTTTACTGGGATGAGAAATGTGGGTAGAGGAAAGAGAAGAAGATTCTGTCTGGATACCACTCAGATGGAAGTGGGGCTGAGATCACCAAAGTACCTTTGTGCTTTGGGCAGTGGGAGCCCTTAAGGAATAAAAGGCAGGGAAATAGACTGATGGAAATCATTTCTGGAGCAATAACCTTCCATGGGGGAACAGAAGGACACAGCAGGAAGTAGGGAAGCCCACAAGAGGGTTGAAATAGGGTGGGAGTTAGCAGTAGGGTGGAAAACCAAGGGTGAACCTGAGAGAGCCTGGAGAAAAAAGAAAACATTCCCAACAGATGGAAGGGTCTGCAGCTGTATGAAAATCTGAAAGCAAGTCTCACTTGGGAGAGGGCAGGGAGTCATGTTCATGAATGGTGGAAATGATGGAAAGATGATTCACCTGACCTGCTTGGTGGGACAGGTCATCTAGGCAGATTTAATGCTTACATTTGCTGCTATAATGCTGAAGAAGCACACTGGGGAGCCATCTAAGTAACTCCCTAGGTTGGTTAGATTGGATTAAGAAGGCTCTGGATAGAGCTAGGAGTCACAGCTGGGCAGGTGGTTGCAGGTGCAGATACTTGTCCAGGGAGGGAGCAGAGAACCAAAGCTGCTGAGGCACAGCAGCATTGAAAGGTAGGCAGGGCTAGAGGCCTGGAAGAGAGTCCTAGAGTCTTTTCTCCCAGGCTTGGGTTCTGTGTAAGTTTGAAAATCAAGTCAGCTACAGGGAAAAGTGGCTCTTAAGTCCAACCCAGAGAGGATCTGGACTTCTGGGGGTAGGCCATTGTCCCAGGCAAGGCAGCGTGCACAGTGGTGTCCTCTTCCTTGCTGGGAAGAAATAGACTGAAACTTCATACATTGCAGTTTCTCTTTCAATGGAATTTCTGACCAGGAACTGTTTCCAAATACATTCTAAGGTACACTAAGTTGTAATAGCACCCCGAGGTGTCCCCAAAGGTGTGTGACGTTCACCTACTTGGAAAGCCTAGAGAAATGAGTCAGATACTCCAATCCACAAAACCCAGTGTCTTAAGGAGGAGAAGGTAGAAGAGCAGAGAAGGAGGGGCAAAACGTGAGGGGACCTTCCTAAGTAGAATAGGAATGATTAGAGACTCAGGCCAATTCAGGCCACCAAGACTCAGGGAAGAGAGCATCATGTCAACTTAGACAGTATTAGTATCAAGTAACAGAGATCAGTCATTCTGAAAGGTCAATTGGGAGCCTAACCCAACTTGATTCATCTAGATCTCAAGGGAGATAGACATGTGAAAGCTCAGTATAAATTATAATGAGTTACAGCAATATCAAAGTTGGACCATTTTGGTGGGCTCTGCAATTGTTTGGGGCACCCTGTGGCAATAAGAATTGTTCCTTCTCAAGAGCAGGTAAGCAGGCAGAGGGTAGCTTATTGGAGGTGTTGTGCTCATATTTTTGTTGGGCTATGGTTTTCTCAGGTGAAGATGGCCCTTCCCAGATGGCCCTGGAAGATCTGGCTATGTTCCGAGCAGTTCCCAACTGCACTATTTTTTATCCAAGTGATGCTGTCTCCACGGAACATGCTATTTATTTAGCAGCCAATACCAAGGTATGTTTAATGAGATACTGGTTGAGACAGAAAATGCTCTAAGGGGCTGGGGATATAGCTTATTTGGTAGAGCGCTTGCCTTACATGCACCAGGCCCTGGGTTCAATCCCCAGCACCAGAAAAAAAAAAGCTCTGCTCCAAGTTTGGTATTGATGGGATTTTCCCCCTTTTTCATGTCTCTAAGGGGCAACCTCTACTCTCATTTCCACCACAGCCTTGTTTTGCCTCTTGTGAACTTTCTAGAAATGGAATCAGATAACAAGTATGAAATCATAAAACAATCTCCAAGATATAGTAAATAGGGGCTGAGGATGTAGCTCAGTGGTGATAGTATTATTTTTTAAGTATGATCTTTACAGCAACAGGTAATTATGTGCACAGACACACTGGCATTATAACAGATTCAAACCATATGAAAGGGGCTGGGGTTGTGGTTTAGTGGTAGAGCACTTGTCTGGCACATGTGAGGCACTGGGTTCGATCCTCAATACCACATAAAAATAAATAAAGAACTTTAAAAAATTATATGAAAGGATGCCGAACAGAGCTTGTCTGCCTATCCGAGTCAGGGCTAAGGGCAAGAAATGGGAAGCACTTTGGGTATTCTAAATGGGTAAGAGGTTTAACAAAGCATGCTTATGAAATCATAGGAGTGGGATCCAGGTGGCGTCCCAAACTGTGGAGTATTCACCCACCAGTGTAGCTGCCACTCTGAGGCCACTGCTAGGCCTATGGGACTTAGGTATACCCAAGCTGGGTACAGTGGTGCACATCTGTAGTTCCATTATAGTTCTACTCAAGACCTGGAGTGGGAGGATCCCTTGAGTTTGAGACCAGCCTAGGAAACGGCAAGACCCTGACTCAAAACATCAAAAACAAGGCACACCCAGTTGCCTCAGCCAGGGATAAAGAAGCCACTGCTTCTGCCACCACTGCCCTCTTAAAATCTAGAAAACTAGAGAGTGGACAATAGGTACTAGTGCAGACAAACCCCAGGATGCCCAGCTCTGGCTCACTGTTGGAAACACCTCAGAAAGCCACATATGCTCCCCTTGGGAGGTCTTGTACAATAACATTAGATGGTAGAGTTAAATTCCTGTCTAGACCCTACTTGTAAGGGAGCTTAGGGAATATAAGTATTTTTCCAACCTTTCCATGATGTTTACCAGACTCCCTCAGCACCTCTGGCCCTGTACCTCACCTATGCCTCTGCACAGGTAACATTGGCACACTCAGGACAGAGTGCATGAATTTCCTTTCTGAACATTCACAACACATATGCATAGACATTTCTATGATTTTTTTGAAGTGGGCTCACATCATACATATTATTCTGGACTTACTTTTTTACTTGTTTTGGGTTGTGGAATTTTTATTGTTTTGTTGTTATTGTTATTGTTGTTGTTTGTTTGTTTTGGGGTTTTGGTTTTCTTAGTGTTGAATGGAATCCAAGGCCTTGCACATGCTAGGCAAGTGCGCTACCACTGAGCTACATCCTCAGCCCCTATTTACTATATCTTGGAGATTGTTTTATGATTTCATACTTGTTATCTGATTCCATTTCTAGAAAGTTCACAAGAGGCAAAACAAGGCTGTGGTGGAAATGAGAGTAGAGGTTGCCCCTCAGGATGAGGGGAATGACTGGAAGGAGACATGAAAGAACTCTGAGCTGATGGACATGCTGGGTGCTAGTTACATGGTGTGTGCCCTTTGCCAAGGTTCAAGGGGGCTACACTTAGCATTTGTGCATTTTTCCTCTAGCTAGGTTATATCTCAAGACACACAAAATAAAGCTGCTTTATAACATGAATGAATGAAAGCAAAGTTTTTTTTAATATTTATTTTTTAGTTTTAGGTGGACACAACATCTTTATTTTCTTTTATGTGGTGCTGAGGATTGAACCCAGTGCCTCATGCATGCCAGACGAGCGCTACCACTTGAGCCACATCCCAAGCCCAACAAAAGCATTGTTTTGCTTTCCCCAACCCATGCGGGCAGCTGAACTTAAAGTCGCTCATGTAAATTTCCAGGGACACCAAATAAAACACAGACACACACTTTACCTTTCAACAAGCTTCAGGACAGCTTCTCCGCTCGTGGCCTCAAGTTTCCCAACTGGGAGAGCAAGAGAAAGTCACCAGGGGCTGGTGAGAGAGAGCAAGCACGTTCGGAAGTGGGCTTTTATTGGGGGACCCTTAGTCTTAGAAAGTTCTATCCAAAAAAGGCAAGAAGGGGCAGGGTTACAAGGGATAGGTGAGTGTAATTTAACCCAAGGGGTGACACCTACATCTGAAGACATGCCTTCGACTTCCTGAGCTGGGACAATGCCCAAGTTATCACAAAATGTAGTAATTGGTTGGAGCCTCTTGCTTCAGAGTGGAAGGCATGGGTCATTCAGAGTGGCTCCCCATAATGTTTCCTGGCTGATGTTTTAGTTTATAATGCATCATTTATATATTAATGTAAGTTAGCAAATACTTTAACTAGACATTTGAGGTTTTATTATGCTCCTAAATGTTTATGTATGCAAGTTGATAGTAAAGCTCTATTTACACATTTTATTGGGAAAAGGTGAGTCATTTTACATTCATACGTTTAAGGTCTTTCTAACAATGAAGTATTACAAGCTATATTGTGGCAAAACTTAATTTTTAACATTGCATTCTGGGCTTTCTAGTCAACATGAATTAGTGCCTCTGTCCCGAGTTTATGTTTGGTGGAGACAGAACAAGTCAATGAGAATTTGGGAAATCTTTTCTAAGTTAATAAAAGGGACAGTTTGGAATGCTTGTCACTAAGGGCATCTGCCAGGGTCCCACTTGGGCTATTGCCTGGCCCAGTAGCACAATCCAGTTCACTGGTGTTTGTACATGTTTGTCCCTTGCTTCAAAATGTATGTGTTTGATTGTTAGTAGACACTCAGTCTTCCTCTTTCCCACTTCCTGATGGTTTATGGGAATTTATAGCTTGATTTTATAAATTATGTTTCTGGATTGCATTATGCCATAGGGAATGTGTTTCATTCGAACCAGCCGGCCAGAAACTGCAGTTCTTTATACCCCTCAAGAAACCTTTAAGATTGGACAGGCTAAGGTAAGGCTCAAGTTATCCAGTATCGTATTTATGTATTTATGTAAAGAGAACTGTTATAAACCTTGCCCTAGGCATCCTCACAAACAATAATTTTTTTCTTTTTCTTTTGTTTTTAAAAAGTCAATTGTGACGGGGCTAAGGTTGTGACTCAGTGGTAGAGCACTCACCTAGCATGTGTGAGGACCTGCGTTCGATCCTAAGCACCACGTAAAAATAAATAAATAAAATGAAGGTATTATGTCCAACTACAACTGAATTTTTTTTTTTAAAGTCACTCGTGACCTTTGCCTGATTTTCCTTAGGAAGGAGCCTTCTGACAGTTTAGTTTGACCTGCACTTTTCTCTTTTCCAAATGTAGTCTTTTTGTTGAACTCTTATAACAACTCAAAGGCACTTGAGTTTGTTGACTGTAATTTATCACAGCCTCAAATTAAACAAAATCAAGAAAAACCAGTTCAAATGAGTAATATATATCTGCTAGGTTCAGATTTTATAGATCTAAGGCCAGGTTTGAAAAAAAAAAAATGAACCATTTTGCTGGGGGAGATTCTTTGACCCTGTGGTTTATTTTGTGCATGTAATATAGCTTTATCTGTAGGCCTCATGATTAAAGCTTGACATTACTGGGCACTTTGCATAAAATCCTTGGGAAACTCAGATTATCAGCCCTTATTGTAGATGAGGATCAGAGAAAGTAAGCACCTTGCCCAAGGCTTCACAGGTCCTGAGCACCAGACCAGGATTCTGGCCCAAGCGTGAGCTCAGCCGCTCTGGGCCTCTCCACCAAATTGTCCACTTCCTGCTGTTCCTACCTGTCCAAGCTGCATATGGGGAAAATTAGAAAAGAGTGTGGAGAAAGTTTGTGACTCTACTTACTACCTACAGAGTATTATGGGCATTTTGGCATGTTTCCTTCCTGCTTTCTTCCTAGGCATATGTATATATTTTACACAATTGAGATCATACTTTAGTAGAGTACACAATTTAAAATGCCATTGCTCTCTCTCCTTTTTTTTCCATTTAGAGATACTGGGGATTGGACTCGGGCAGTCACCCACTGAGCCACATCCCCAGCCCTATTTTGTATTTTATTTAGAGACATGGTCTCACTGAGTTGCTTAGGGCCTTGCCATTGCTGGGGCTGGCTTTGAACTCATGATCCTCCTGCCTCAGCCTCTTGAGCCACTGGGATTATAGGTGTACACCACTGCACCCAGCTGAAGGATCTTTCTTATATCTCTTTTGTCTTTTTTTTTTTTCCTAAAATTTTCTTGGTCCTGAGAAAAAGAAATAAATTTTCTAATGGTGAAGGATGAAACTTTAAAGTGTGTATGTATATGGTAACATGCATGGGCATGGGTAATTAAATGGTTGGGTTTTGCAAAGTGGACATAGATGTGTATGTACATATGTATATATGTGGTTTGGGCTAGGGGTACTGGTGATCAAACCCAGGGCCTGTACATGCTAGGCATTAAAGAATCATTTTATTTATGCATTATATAAGAACTTAATAATTTGTATTGTAAGTCAAGAGAAGACAAATTTGCAAAAAAAAAAAGAGTATGTCAGGATTTTAAATGCATCTGATTCAGCCTTTTTTCTAGTGAATTATTAAGGAGTGAAATTATTAGCATTGGGGAATAGCAGTGTAGCAGAGTGCCCTCTGATTTGAGATGTGCTTTATTATTTATTTATTTATTACATACATGACAATAGTGGAATGCATTGCATTCATAATTAGATGTAGTAACCACAGTACTTTGTTTTGTTGGTGCTATACCAGGTTGTCCGCCAAAGTGTCAATGACAAAGTCACGGTTATTGGAGCTGGAATTACTCTGCATGAAGCCTTAGTGGCTGCTGATGATCTCTCTAAACAAGGTCTGTTGGTTGTTTCTGAACATTGAAGTTCATCCTTGGAAGAGGCAGGACTTTGCCTACCTCATGTGCCCCAACAGGTTTATTTTTGTGCCTGCATATTCTGTATTCTAAGTCTGCTTCTTACATCAAGCTGGTATTACTTTCTTCAGATATTTTTATCCGTGTCATTGATCTGTTTACCATTAAACCCCTGGATGTTGCCACCATCATTTCCAATGCAAGAGCCACAGGCGGCCGGATTATCACAGTGGAGGATCACTACCCAGAAGGTGTGTGCAGGCATCATGAATGTGTTTGAAAGTTTATTTTGGCAATAAGTGTTTTTTGTTTCCTTGATTGGAGATGTTCCATGCTCTTGGGTATCAGTACCCATCTACTACTCACCCAAAGATAACACTTTTTTTTATAGTTCTGGGATTGAACCCAAGGCCTCACACATACTAGACATGCATTCTATCTCTGATCCATATCCCTAGTTCACAATATACCTTTATTATTGTTCTTTGCAAGTGTATTAATGTAGGGATCTTCTCACCCAGCCCATAATGCACTTGTGTGTCCCCAGCACACTGTCCAGTCACCAAGGTGGGTTGTTGGCAACACAGAGGAGTGGCTGACTCAGTACTGAACAGGGAGCAGTCACAGAAAGCTTTATTTACAGTTTCTTTTGAGTTTTGAATGATTAGTAGTTTACTTGCCATCTCCCAAAATAGTACCATTCAAAGAATAAAGCAAATGCAGGAAAAGAGCATGTGGTAGGGAGGGAGAGAGGGCTGAGTAACACTTGGACTTGAGAAGGTTAACCCACATGATGTGATCTGATGAGGAGCTTCATATGTTCTCATGATGGCTCCCAGGACCACATCCTGATGGATGATTTTCTGGAAGCACTCCCTGCATGTGGCACCCAGTTGCCCTCCTGGTTGAGGTTTATCACAGGAGAAGGGCATGTGGTGGGTTCCACTAGTATAGGAACCTTGGTTGAAGACTGGAGAAGTCTACCTCACTCCCTGCCTGAGACAGCTCTATCTGCACAGGTATGCCTCTTAGAGACTCAGAGCCCTGCATTTCTATTGAGGGCTGCTGACATTGACACCCTCTGCCAGGCACATAACAAATTTCCAATTCCTTGCAGAAAAGTGGGTGCTTGCTTAGTCCATGTTGTTCTTACAAATAGTCCAGACAGAGGGACCACTGCTATCAGCAGAGAAATCATCCCAGCAGTGCAAGCTGCTTGCACCAGCTGAGGGCCAATCTTGCAAGCTAATAGCCTCAGACCTGCTTGTCTCCACAATGAACCTGCACAGTTCATTGGTTCATCTTAGTGGTTTTCACATCCTTCACAGTTTTGAGAATCTGCTCCATAGTCCCTCCCACATCCATGGAGCCTAAGTTGAGAGTAGACCCTGTTATATGTGGGGGTGGGAGCAAACTGGAGTATTGGAATTTAAGATGAGAACTCCTTAGGCCAGTTGGAGAAGACTATGTGATTCAGTGACCAGGGAAAATATTTCCCCATGGGAGCCAGCAGGTTCAAGGGTCTGTATATTTTGTAGCTTTAAGGCTCACTAGCTACCTCCAGAAAAGTTCCTAATATCTCTTGCTTACCCAGGTGGCATTGGGGAAGCTGTCTCTGCAGCTGTCTCCATGGAGCCTGACATCCTGGTTCATCAGCTGGCAGTGATGGGAGTGCCTCGGAGCGGGAGACCCAGCGAGCTGCTGGATACATTTGGAATCAGTGCCAGACACATCATTGTGGCTGTGAAATGCATGTTGATGAACTAAAATAGCTGTTGATTCTGTCTTAGAAGACTGGCCTCTGTACCTTATATTTAGGCTTGTTCTAAAACCATTGTTGAAACTCTTGACCTTTGCTCTCCTTAAAGCCAGCTAACACCTTTCTTCATTCCTAATTCACAAATCCCAGTTAACTACTTTCCTTTTAAACAATGAGTATATATACACATGTGCTCCTTTTTGAATCATTAAAGTGGATTATAAATTTTAAGTGAAAAGAAATAGCAACCATCTGATATTAAGTTTCCTACACATAAATAGGTGAGGATCACTGTAGAAGTGACAGTTTCTTAAATGTATTTCCCTCATAAGAGAACAAAATGTGCATTGAATTGTAGACCACAGTAGCCCTGGTTTCATATACTGCCATTCCCAGTTTGAGATTCCATGTGCTGCCTTCTTACCTGCAGTTTCCTGGGTAATATGTGACTTCAGCTGCACCAGAGTTTCCTCTGTTGTTTGCCTTCATCTCCCCACCACAATTCAGAGGCTGTCGAGCAGCAGCCAAAGCTGTTAGGATGTCCTGTGCTGCTTGTGGTGACTGTTCTGTGAAAACATGAGGGCACAGCTAGACCTGGTCCCTATACTGTTCAAGTCGTTGTTAATAAAGCATTTCAAAAGCAGCTGCTTTATTCTGTTTGCGCCTTCCATGAGATTTGATTTCTCCTTGAATAAGAGAGGTCCTAAATATGAGAGGAGCTTCTGTCTAAAACAGATGGAGAGAGCCCTAGCCCCAAGAATAAACATGGAAAAGGATAATAAGCTAGCCTGCAGAATCCTCACTAGAGAATCATGTATGGCTTGAAAATTCACCCCTGAGCCAACTCATTCCCAGTAGCCAGAACACAAGAAAGGTACCAGCCAGATAAAGATGGGCCTGAGTTTTAAAATCATACCAGGTGTGCCTGGTATATCATATTCCTTATTTTTATTACCACCATTAAGTGGTCATCAGGGATTTTTGGAGTCTTGACTGTTGTGCCCAAGGAATTATTTTAGCATGAGCTGTAGAGACCAGCCTAGGAGTTGGAGTCCTCAAGGCCTACTCATTTTACTCCTGCCCTTCTGTACCCCTGAGCTAGTTTCCTGGCCTGTAAAATGAGTATAGTTATTCTACTCACTTCATAAGATTTCAATATTATTTTATAAAGGTAATATGATAGAGGATGATTATAGAAAATTGATAAAATGCAAATGATCAATTTTTTTTACATCACATTTGTCACCATCTCAGGGTAATTGTTTCTCATGCTCCATGCAGAAACATATATGATTGATTCTGTCTTAGAAGACTGTGTACAGTTCAGTGCACAGCCACAGCAAGTTAATTTTAAAACATTTTATTGCCCACCCCCCTCCAAAGAAACACTACCCTTTCTTACTTTCCATGTAGCCGGGCGTGATGGTGCATGCCTGTAATGCCAGCAGCTTGAGAGCTGAGTCGGGAGGATCGTAAGTTCAAAGTCAGCCTCAGCAACTTAACAAGACCCTATCTCAAGAAAGGGGCAGGGGCTGGGGATGTGACTCAGTGGATAAGTGCCCCTGAGTTCAATCCCCAGTAAAAAAAATATTTGGGCTGGGGATGTGACTCAGTGGTAGAGTGTTTGCCTGGAAAGCATGAAGCCCTAGGTTCAGTTTCTAGCCCCACAAAAAATGTCTTCATGTACCTTCCCAGTCTCTGGCAACCACTGATCTACTGTTTATGAATTTACCAATTTTGGATATTTCATAAGAATGGAATCATACAGTATGAGGGTTTTTTTCTGGTTTCTTTTACTGAACAGTTCATTTGAGGTTTATTAATGTAACCAGTGTCAGAACTTTATTCATTTTTACAGCCATATAATATTCTGTTCTATGGTAGACTACATTTTTTTCTTTTCATCAGATGATTGACATTTGGGTGATTCTGTTTTCACTGCATAGTGCTTTTGTAAACATTCACATACACAAGTTGGTGTGTAGAGTTGTATTTTCACTTTGGGTAAGTGTATCGCTAGGAATGGAATTGCTGAGTTGTATGGTAATTGCCCTTTTGAGTGTCTTGTCATTGGTGTGTGTTTAGTTTTGAGAGCAGTAAATGAAACAATGACTGGAAGGTATTGAGTGATCTATAAAGCATTACATATTATAATCCATTATCAATAAGAAATGGACCAGCCAGATAAAGATGGCAGTGTAAGGGCTGGAGATGTACCTCAGTGGTAGAGCACTTGCCTTGCATGTGAAAAGCTCTGGGTTCAATCCATATGCTGTCCTGAGAGAAGCAACCCACCAGGTACTCTGGTGTCAGCTACCACCTGACTTTAATCCCCAAATTGTTGCTTGTTGGTAGCAGGGTCCTACTAACCTTTTTTAAACTCCATTTTTTCATTTGTAAAGGGTGGATGACCATGGTATCTGTTTACAGGCTGAGGTCAGGATTTTACATTGCCATGGAAATGTCCACATTCAGGCCCGCCCTGCTCACTGGTAGGTTCCTACTTCCCAACCACGCCCTAAATTCTCACCAGATCCCAGCTGTCCCACCCCATCAGCTCATCCCTACAATCCTTGTCAGGGATTGACTGTATTGGGGTGGGCAGCAACTCTGATCTGCCTTCCCTGTCCATTTCCAGCCTTCCTCTATAACCCTAGCTACTGGCCTGCCCCTCCACCACCACCCCCAACCACCTATTCCCTGCTCGGACTCCCTCTACCCACCATTTGACTCTGCCTGGCGCTGGTACCTCGCGCCCGCCTGCCTTGCGCCTGCCGCTCATGCCTCTGGCAACCCAGCCAATCCATTTACGTCATTGGCTTTTGTCCCGTCACTCACTCAGCCACAGCCAATCAACATCATTCGCACCACCAGGGACGTACACTGCAGACCCCAAATTTCACACTGATTTGCCAGGCTGGGCAGGAACCTATCTCACCCCCTATCTCTCAGTGCACCTAACCGTGGTGTTTGAGCAGTGGCGAAGGATGGAGGGACGGCTAGAGCAAAGGGAAAACTGGGATGCAGAAGGTTACGGAAGTATACATGGGCCAGGCATAATGACGCAAGCCTGTAATCCCAGAGGCCCAGGAGGCTGAGACGGGAGGATCGCGAGTTAAAAGACAGCCACATCAATTTAGCGAGGCGCCAAGCAACTTAGTGAGAGCCTGTCTTTAATAAAATATAAAAAATGCGGGGGCGGGGGTGTGATTCCATGTTTAAGAGCCCCTGAATTCAATCCTCGGTACCAAAAAATAAGAAGTACATTTGGGGCACATGGGACCTGTCTGGACTCCAAAAGGGCGAAAAGCCACGGAGAAAAGCAAGTTCCCTTTCAGTCAGATCGCCAAAACAAGACCTCAGAGTTGAGTTCTACCACCACAGTTCGTGCACCACAAACAGCACCCAGGGATGCTCTGACTTATCATGGGAAATCATGGAGCTTCCACCTGCCAGGTCATGGTGATACATTTCTCATACAGACTCAGATTGGGATGAGAAAACTTGCAGCTCTGGGATTCAGGAAACATGAAATGACCCCATACTTGATTCCCTATCTGGATGAGGAAAACAAGCAGCCATATCAGACCACAGGAGTGGGTCTAATGGCAACAAGGGGTAGTTGTACAACGTCTCAAACGTAAGGAATGAGCCCTTCCAAGGCTCTTGCCCAGGAAAAGCTATCACACATCTTTCCAGGAAAAGAACACCAGTCCCTCAACTCAGGAAGTCAAGTGACTTTCATTGGTAAGTGAGGTTCAAAGGGACTTCTGCCCAACAACAGCCTACATTTTCACAGGAGAAAGGTGGCCAGGCTGGAAATTCAAAAGACTGGCCTTCTGAAAACCAAACACTTAACCATTGGGTTTGATTGTTGGAGTTGTCAGTCCTACAGGAA